CTTTTAATTTTTTTTTGTGTTAGTTTTTAACCATTAAAGTTTATATTAAAATTTAATTACAAGTTTTAAACTTTTTATAATTGCAAATTTCAACAATGTTCACACACAATCAGGTTAGATTTCATAGTTGACATCGCTGCCACTCAACAGTTTTGTTTGATTCACTCTACACGCAGTCATTTACAACAAAATTATTTTAATTTTTAACTAACCTTCACTTAACAAAAAATTTCCAAATTTATTAAATATTCAAATTTCAAAAAAATTGCATACAACTAATTTGCTGTTATTGTAATTTGCTGTAAATTTAAAATTGTAATTATTTCCAATTTTCACAAAAATTTTTGTATTAAAGTTTTACTTACAAAACGTAAATCTTAGGAAATTTTTAAATTCCGTGTTTTTCAAAATTTATTTTAAAAAATTTCCAATTTCCAATAATTCATTAAAAGTTTCAAAAAGTTATTAATTTAATGTTTTTATTCGAAAATTTAAAATTGAAAATATTTCTAATTTTCATACAAATTCGTATCTTAAATTTTTCAAGTAAAAAAAAAAACTAAAATCCTTGAAAATTTTAAGTTTAGTTTTTTTCTCCAAAAATGAAGTTATCAAACATTTTCAATTTTTAATTATTTTCAAATTTTAGAATATTCATTGGTTTTTTTTTCAAATTTTTTTTTTAATTTCAGAATTTGGTAAATTGGCTTTATTTCGAAGTTCAAAATTTGGAAATCTGAAATATTATGAAAAAGCAATTTTTATTAAATTTGGAAACTCTAAAAAATGTTGGTAACTTTTTTTTTTTGAAATTTGAAAATTCTAAAGATTTTTTTGTGGTATTTATTTTTATATTCCAAAACATTGTCCTAAATATTTTCTGAAATTTGAAGGTTTCAAGATTTTTGGTTATTCCAATATGTTTCATTTTAAATGTTAATATTTAGCCAATATATCAAATATTGAAATTTATTACATTTATACGTTTGAAGCTCACCAGGTTCTTAATTTTTAATTTGAAAATTCTAAATAAGTTGTTACTAGCTTTTTTTTTTGAAATTTTAATAATCTATAATTTTTTGTTTTGGAAAATTCTGAATTTTTTGAAAATTTGGTTTTTTTTTCAAAATTTAAAAWTTTTTTAAACTTTTGCTTTTCCAAAATGTTTCAGATTTTATTAAATTTATTCATTTGAAGCTCACCTCGTTCTTAATTGTASATTCATTTCTCGCAATATTAATATTATTCAAACCAAAAAATTTATATTTTCTTTTTTTTTTTAAACAATATATATTTTTACGTATTTTAAATTAAATTTTTTATAATTAACACTTATTTGCTTGTMTCTTTTCAGTTTTTCGCCAACGCTTTGTCGGTAAGTGCACAATATTAATAATTTAGCYCGAAATCGTGGCGAATCCTTTTCTATTGCTATTTCACACAATTTAATTTGCAATGCGTTGATCCTCAAAATTCGATCGTGAAACTTATTTCGCTTTATTGTTCCACCGAATAACCGGGTTTTCTAGTCAATTATGTTTAGAATTGCAAAGTTCAACGCGCCGCTGCCGGAAATCAACTGAAAGCTCATCCTACCACTCGCGCATAATTTATAGCAACATCCAATAAAATGCAATAACAATAACATCAATGCGCCTTAAAWGACTGACGGCGTAACGTCAATAGAATTGATTATTTATTTGACACATAGTAAACGTATTGAAAAAATATTTCTAAAAAAATATAKTATAAATAATTTGTAAAGAACGCTAAGCCATCGCTGAGCACTATCTCGCTTTCCATCGCTTATGCTCATTTTACATAACCATTTATATAGTTATATGTATATATATTTATRTTTTGTATGCACATTTATACATTTGTATATTTATGTATATAAAGTGTATATATGTATTTTTACTCAAAGCAACTGTTTGTGCAAATAAACTTCAAAGAAATATTTTGTTATGCTACGTTTGGCACATTTACAGATTCAGTAATTGTTTATATTTTTTCATTCTGGCAATAATAATAAATTAACTGTTAAATAAGTGATAAAAATCAATTACATGACTAAATGTCACATAATAAGCCTAATTCAGAAATAAACCAGTAAGCAATCGCACATTGATTTTAATAAAGTGGTGCTAATTGCTAAAAATATATACATTTTCAATTCTCTTGAAGTTGGATTATTTTCAGATGGCTTGATTGTCACTTTCAAAGCCATCAAACTTCTCCTTAAATGAATATCCTGATTTCTGGGTTGATAAAGTTGGATCAAGATTTTCAAAAATCCACCTTGATATCACAGCGCTTAGAAAGTAAATTTAAAAAATAAGTAAACCCGAATTATCAAGAAAATATTTACTGAGCTAAAATCGAGAATGTTTTAGCTTACTTCAAATGTACCATATAAGATTATGATTGTTTGAAATCTTAACAATGATTTTTTAACTATCAATATCATATTAAGGTATGTTTAGTAGGGTTGATCCAAGATCGATGGATTTCATTGGACAGATATATATTCGTCTTTCGTTTTACCCATAAACTCCTGAAAGTGGATAACCACACTCTCGTAGTTCGATGAAGCATGTGGAGTTTATCAGAAATCTATTAAGGCAGTAAATTTAATCCCAGCAATTTCGCTAGTTTCGCCAAATATGTCTAAAACTGACTATTGTAGACTGCCGCTTCTCCAGCTCTAATAGTAAGCCGACGGCTCCTGTTTGATGGATCACTTCTGCTTCTTTAAGATTTACCTTGCTAGGGATATTATAAAGGACCTCGACGAAGCTATTATCTGGTTCTCTGATCACGACCTATGATTGTCGTTTGGGGCTACTATTTCCTTCTTCCTGTTTTGTAACTATATTCTTACCTGGTTGTCTCTCTTTGCTTCCTCCACTGTTYTTTCGTTTGCGGTGGTCTTCCTTTATTTTTTAGGCTAAACTTTTTGGCACTGGCCGTACTTTTCGTTTCGTGGTCGCACTGTTTCTCGAAACACAACAGGACTTGTCGCGCGCCGCTTCGAGGCTATTGACTYTGGGGACGTGATGCGTCTGTTTAGATGTTTCGGTCCTTCCTCATTTTCTTCAARGAGCCAGTTTCTGTGGTAAATTTTGATTACGTCGAAGAGTTCATCTAGCTGTGCCGCTTCGTTCTTAACATCCATGCTCACGTTCTTCTGTTGAGTCATCACCGTCTTCCATACTTCTGTTTCTGTGAATTTTGCTTTGCTTCGGGTTGCTTAGGAATGGTAGTGAATATAGAGTATCTAAGTTTTACGGAARACAGTGTCGTATTCCTCGCCTTGCGCATTTCATTTCAAACCGGTATCTCCGTACATTGTAACAGTTGCACTTTATGAACACCGTGATTATCTATGCAAGGAGGGAGGCCACGTGAAGATTGCACAAGTCATTATGGGAGCTTATGGGAGAACARTAATAGTCTACCAGCCATTACGGAAAGATATTAACTTACCTACTGAGGTGATASAATACTGCCCTCACCAGCCCTTTGTCAAACTAATTCCGGGTTCCCAGTACTCCATAACCAGAATCTTACTAACCTCGATTCTGTTTGGCGCTTTCCTAGCGTTTTCGTCGACGTCTGTGCACTTCTGGTGCTGTTCACTGCATTGTTCCCTCCTTGCTTTCTTGCCTTTCTCTCGTGGGTAGGGAGTTCTGGACGCTTTCATAAAGGCAGCATCTTTTCGTCTCTTCACCGGAGGTTCATTGGGCGCATGAGRCGTTTTGAGCTAACCTACTTAGCATAGGCCATCACTATTCGCCAGATGTGACCCCGGCAGTAGCCTGTGCTMAGCCTTACCAATGTCGGTCTAAAACTCATCGCATTCGAGAAAAATTTCAACCAGAGATATCTTGAAATAGTGCCACATTTTTCAATAACTCTTTAGATAAATGAAAACATTGAGAAGCTTTTTCATGCAGGTATTTGTAGTGTTTTATTCATTTTATGTACAATATTTACATAGCTTCGGATTGCTTATAGTTTTCGTATTGCCAAAGCTTCTTCCGGCTTTATTTTTATGAATCTGGACAGCCTGATTGATCGGTCACAATCATTGGGTCCAAAGATACACCTTGCGAAACAAGCACATCCTGAGCATCTCTTACAATATCCTCAGATGGATCGCGCTCACGCGTGAGGATCCACACGGTTTCTGAAATAATGGAGAAGTGGAGATATTTCAATTTCGGAAAATTAAAGTTGTTGACTTTTCTTAAGTTTAGAAGTCAAGTATTCAATTTTCTACGGTTTGTTGGGTAAAATATATTTCATAGATTAAATATGTGTATTAAACTAATCAGTTTTTGAGAGTGAATATATACTATACTATTGTTTTGATAATTATGTATATAGTTACATAAAACAACAACAATTCCAGCTATTGATCAATCACGTGTGTTGGCACTGGTGTTTTACAGAAGCAACTCTTTCATTTGGACTTAATTATMAAAAGTGTACGGGAATTTAAAGAAAAAATTCTAAAAATGCAATATTTCTTTTATAAACGCAGTTACTGTTTAGAATTTTAATTTTACGTCAAACTGTGCGTAAAAAAAAGCTTCGAAAAAGATGTTTACTATAATTAAACAGCCTTTGAAATGCACTAAAGATGTAAATTCATATTAGGGTCATTCTAAATTTACTAAAAAATGGTAATCCGTAGTGTTATAGTGYAACTAGAGGAATTCCGGAGCTATACGACGTTGGTAATAGTTAAGAACATGTATGTATGCAGTAAAAATAGGGCCGTAATTTATATGCATACATGTAGACGATTGGGAATCAAAAAATATACTTTCAAAATAATAATCATATACATACATATTTACAAAAATTCAAAACGTATTAGGGTGGTACAAAGAAAATTATTTTATTTTTTTTATAAAAAAAATACAATTTAAAAATTTGCTGTTATACATACAAATTCAAACATATTAGGGTGGTACAAAAATATTTCTTTTTTACTTGGGAATCAAAAAATATAATTTAAAAATGTGCTGATATACATAGTATATAAATACCAAAAATGTAAACATATTAGGGTTGTACAAAAATAAAAAATCATTGGTGTAATGAATATATTTATAGTTGCCTCAATTTAAAATCAGCAAAAATAAAAACAATAAATTGTATCATATATTTGGAAACTCTGAACCATAATTTGATACAAGAGCACCTACAGAAAAAATAAAACAAATTAATCTCAAGCACACACTTATCTAATTCAAAGTCAAAATTATTAATTTTAARTAATGCTAGCGTTGTCCAAAGTAATTGAGTGTCAACCTAATGCCAGTTTAGATCATACAGAGTTTAAAGCTGAAGCAAGACAAKGCATACTTGTTGATACAATAGTTTGTAATTTTTGAAATACTCGTTAAAAAAGAAATAAAAATTKCGATTAACCATGTCAATGAAATGTTGATGACAAATTATTTGTGAACTATGTAACTTGCTAGAAATTCTTAGAAGAGCAATTAGTTAACGGCTGAGTAAACCATTTTACACGATTTTGAGTTTTTTATAATTTTTTGTAGCTCGTTAAGATATTTTTGTTTTTAATGTTCTTAGCAGCATTAAGTTTGAGTCACATTAGGGTGGTACTTTTATCGAATATGTTTTTTTTTAATATTTTTTTTTGTGTATAAGTGGTCAAATGTGACTTCAAAAGGAGAATTCAAAAGGAGAATTCATGGTTCATGTAACCAAACCTGTATGATATTACAAAATTACTAAAAATCTTAATTTTTCCTTTAATACAAAAAATATAATTTTCACTATTATACTCAAATCAACTTAAAACAATACATTGCCAAATCTTAAAAGTATTTAATATTAAATAACAAGAACAAAAGTTTTCCTAAACAACTTCAAACATTTTTTTTGTGCCACCCTAATATATGTGTACATGGACGCGCTCGTTATGTCAGACGCACCGGTTTACGCTTCTGACACCAGAGTTCACTCAAACTGAGTTATTCACATTTTTATGAAAACAAACTTTTGTTGCTTTTTTTGCGTTGTTTTACTTTATTTTTACCGGCTCAAAGTAAATGAGAAACAACAACAACAAAATTATTTAACTAACGCGTTTAAAGTGCAGCGCTGAGAAATGAGTCGCGTTGGCAAAGATCGGCATCGTAGATTAATTAAATATATATAWATGGGCAGGTATGTGTGTATGTATGTATGTACATGCATTGTCTGACTACAAAACACTCAGTGTTATTGTCCATTCAATGGTGAGTGTTCTATTGCACTTTAGTATAAACAAATTTAATTATTATACAACAACTATCATAGTGCAATGCATGGTATATATGGAACCATAGATTAAATTAAATGACACTAGATTAAATAATTAAAAATAAAATGTCAGAAATGACACATGCAATGCAGTTAACTATTGCAAGGGGTAAAAATGCTTAGTTATTTAATAAAACTATTAGTATGACGCAGTAGTAACCTCCCAGTGAACTCAATAGAAATTTTTTTTAACATATAGTTTAGCATTATTACAAGTTATCGAAGGCAAAGGTTAAAAATCAACAATTTTGAAATTTTATTTAAAAGGTTATGGAACCAAGATATTTATTTGTTCTAATAWGGCTTCAAGGTTGTGAGAATCAAGTAGAGAATGCCTGAAATTTTAGATCTATTTTTCCGAACTACCAAAACATTTTAAAAAATTTCATACCTTACTATAAAATTGCATAATATGCTTAAATTTCATCGCTGTGTTTCATATATCTCGTTCTTCACACACAAAACAAAACAAAAAAACAAAAAACCGCTGCTTTGAACTGGCTGTTTTATTGTCTTTACTTACCCGTATGTGCGATTTTTAGATTCTTGCAGCTGTAGACGGCRGCATAGTTATCATAATCGGTGCCCAAGACCCAGTAGTCAGCGGACCCAGCAAGAGCTACAAAGCAAAGTAGTGCATAAAAAGTATTATCAATTTTCACAAAAAAAACAAAAACATAATAAAAAATAAAAAAATAGATTTAAATGAGAAGCCAGCTAGACCGAAAACACCAGTTCGTACCGAGTTCAAATTTTCAACACAGTTTTCCAAATTTTTCCACTTTTATAAAATTTAGCAATTTCAAAAAGTCAGAATGTTGTTAAATTTCAAAAAGTTTACTAATTTTAAAAATTAAATAAAACAAATCAAAAATGTAAGATGTTCCAAAACTTTAAAACTTAAAAATTTTTTCACGGT